GGATTAAATTTTGCTAAATGGTGTGGGGTAGGGAATTGAAATTTTTTTTTCCTGCCCAGTAATTAAAACATATTTATTGTGACTACTTCTTAAATGATGCTTTTCTTTTTTTGCTTCTTTCAGATGTCAACTTTATTCCTATATGTATAACGAATCTGTTTCTAGGGCTTCTCTTGTATTCATTGATCTCTCCTCTTGTATTCAATTTTTGTTTTTTTAATGACGTTTTCATAATTGATAGTATATAGATCCCATTATTGCTTCTTGTTTCACATTTTTTCCTTGAAAATTCTTTTAGATCCAATTTAGAACTTTAGTTGAGTTTTCCCTAAAATATTCCATAGAGATGTTTATTGGGGTTGCCTTAAACCGATGTATTAATTTAGGGAGTTAAATATTTTTCTATTGTAGCATTTATTTTAAAAGAACAACAAGAAGATTGATCAAAAACAATTATTAGGTATTTTCTGTGCTATAGGCACTATAGTCACTGCTTGTATTGTAATTTATCTGCATATGTTTTTCTCAAAATTAGATTGTCAGCTCTTTGGAGGAAGAAATGATATCTTATTCATTTTTTGGTTGTTTCTTGGACTTTTATTTTCTTGGACACAGTAAGAGCTTGGAGAGTGTATATTAATAATTGAAGTTTGCAGACTGAAGTAGAAGTAATAGGTATGAATAATTTTTCTTCATTCTAGGTTACCTGAATAGTGAAGATTTGTTAGTATAACTAAAGTTGAAAGAGGAATAATTTAGAAAATAGCCCTGGATGGGTGTTTTAAGAATTTGATTGGTTTGTTTAATTTAAATTTAAAAGACCATATTGGACTTGCTTCAGTTATTTCTTTGTCTTTTTTTATTTTTATGTTTTATCAAAGCTATCCATGTACTTTTTTTTTTTGGACAGGAGTCTCACTCTGTCACCCAGGCTGCAGTACACTGATGTGATCTTTGCTCACTGCAACCTCTGCTTCCTGGGTTCAGCGATTCTCCTGCCTCAGCCTTCTGAGTAGCTGGGACTACAGGCACACACTACCACACTCAGCTAATTTTTGTATTTTTAGTAGAGACAGGGTTTCACCACATCAGCCAGGCTGGTCTCAAACTCCTGACCTCAGGTGATCCACCCACCTCAGCTTCCCAAAGTTCTGGGATTACAGGTGGGAGCTACTGTGCCCGGTCCATGCACATTTTATTTTGTAAATTATATCCTTCAGTTCTGATAATTTTTTATAATGATGTTTTTTAGTGTTTTCCCTCTTCTATTTTCTATGTTTTGACTTTAAGAACCTCTGTTTTTCAATGTTGTAACTGCTGAATGGGTGTCCTACTTTTCTTATGATTTCCCTTCTATTTGTCTGTATCTTTGCCTTTTTTTCTAAGTATCTGAGATATATCATCAGCTTTATTTTTTACTTTTTATTTATTTTTGAGACAGAGCCTCGTTCTGTCACCCAAGCTGGAGTACAGTCATGTGATCTCGGTTCACTTCAACCTCCGCCTCCCAGGTTCAGTAGATTCTCCTGCCTCACCCTCCCAAGTAGCTGGGACTACAGGCGTGTGCCACCACACCTGGCTAATTTTTGTATTTTTGGTAGAGATGGGGTTTCACTATGTTGACCAGGCTGGTCTTGAACTCGTAACCTGAGGTGATCTGCCCACCTCAGCCTCCCCAAAGTCAGATTATAGGCATGAGCCACCTCGCCTGGCCTTATCAACTTTATTTTTAATTTTTCTACTGAGTTTTAAATTTCTAATATCTCTGATTTTCTTTTTTAGTGCATTGTTCTTACATTCATTATCTTTTCTGATATTGAGATGATATGAATGATAACTACTTTTGAAAATTTCTTCTCCATGCATGGTCCAAATTTTCTTCAGGTTTCTTTTCTGTAGTTCTTAATTTTTTGTTTTGGCTTCATTAATAATAAAGGCTTTCCTCAAGTGATTGAATGTCTTTGACTATTTGTTCATATATGAGAGTGAAGGTTTTCAAAAACTCATGGGAAGCTCTGAGTTCATGGTGTTGGAACTTGTTGGTTGTCGGCCTTTCAATGGTGTGCTGCATTGGCTTGTATCTGCTTGTGAAATGTAGTTGAAATGTAGTTGTTAGCATATCTTCCTATCGCTGAGTTAAGTGACCTCCAGTCAGAGTATTTACATCACAGAAGTTGATAAAGTCTACAAATCAGGGGTCTAGTCCAGAGACTATGCATTTTATGTGTGTCAGAGAATGTCTTCCTTTCCGCTGGGGAGATTGAAGGGCAGCCACTCTTGTTCTGAGAATCTAATTGATTTAGATTTTCAACCAATGCTGTAGTATTTAACTCCTTTTGTTTCTGAGTATTTAATTCTTTTTATTTCCTTGTATGGATATATCACAATTTATCTGTTTACCAGCCAATGGACATTTGGGTTGTCTCTGTTTTAGGCTATGGTTTATGTGTTATTTATATGTTATTTGTATGATATGATTTGATGGTATGATATATATGGTATTTGTAAGTAACTTTTAAAGAAACTGCCAAATTGTTTCACTAAGTGGTTGCACTATTTTACATGCCTTCTAGCAGTGTGTGTGAATCCTGGTTCATCTACATCCTTGTCAACGTAGATTTGTAAAGGATTTTTAAAAATAACAATTCTGATAGATATATAGTAGCATCTCATTGTGTTATTTCTAAAAATAAATTTTATTGTGGTATACCACGTTATGGGATATAGTAAAAAGTGAAACTAATGAAAATGTTCATATATCACAATTATCCATTTTTTGGTTTTGTGGCAAAAGCAGCTAAAATCTACTTATGTAGCTTAAATCCCATATACAGTACAATTTTTATTACCTGTAGTCTACATGTTGTACTTTAGACCTCCACACTTGTTCATCCTACATATTTGCTACTTTGCATCCTCTGACATTTATTTCCCTGTTCTATTCCTCCTACCACTCTTTTGTCCTCTATCCCTGTATATTTTATTTTTTTCATATTCCTTATATTTTCAGGCAATATTTTTCTTTTTGTGTCTGGCTTATTTCACTTAGCTTATTCACTTACCCTGGAATGGTTTATTTCACTTACCCTAGAATGTCTTCCAGGATCATCCACATCATAGAAAATGGTTAGTTTCTATTCTTTTTTAAGGCCGAATAATATTTTATTGTATATGTGTCCCCTGAATTTGGAATCTGGAATTGTGATGCCTCCAATTTTTTCTTTTTTTGGGGGGAGGGTGGGTGGCAGAGGGGACAGGGTCTTGCTCTATTATTGCCCAGGCTGGAATACAGTGGGATGATTATGGCTCCCTGCAGCCTCAACCTCCCAGGATGAAGCAACCCTCCTACTTCAGCCTTCTGAGGAGCTCGAATCACAAGTGTGTATCACCACACCTGACTAATTTTTTTGATTCTTTATTTTTAGTAGACATGGGGTCTCACTGTGTTGCCCAAGCTGGTCTTAAGCTAGTGAGCTGAAGTGATCCTCGCTCCTCCACCTCCCAAAGTTATGGGATTACAGGCATGAGCCACTGAGCCTGGCCTGCAACTTTGTTTTCCTTTCTCAGAATTGTTTTGTCTATTTGGGGTATTTTATGGTTTCATATGAATTTTAGATTTTTTTTTCTATTTCTTTGAAGAATGCCATTGGGATTTTGATAGGGATTACATTGAACCTATATAATGTAAATAAGTCAGATACTTAAAATTTAACATCTCCAAACTAGGAGTCATTGTTTTCTCTCCATCCTGCATTGTCCTCCCTGCAGCAGAATTTGCTCTTTTTTCCATTTCACAACTTAGTTAATATTGTCATTTTTTTCTAATCATGTAAGCCTGAAGTCTGAGTCATCCCTAGACTACTGCTTCCAGTTTCCTGCCTTCTTCCAGTTGATCCATGTGTTTTATTAATTCTTTTAATTAACTTTCAAATAAACACATCCTATTCATTTTCATTGACCCACCTTAGTTTAAGGCTATCATGACCGCTTGTTAGGAATAGCTTGCTATTCATTCTCTTTTCAGAGATGCCTGTGTGCTCTCTGGTACCTCAATTATCTTACTACTTTGTAATTATTAGTTTATATGTCTATCTTTTCCATTACACTATGTTCTTGTAAGGAAGGACCTTGAGTTATGATTTTTGTGCTCCCAGTGCCTAGCTCAATATGTGACATACAAATGGTGTACAATAAATGTTTTGCGAATATGTGAACTAGTTTATCATTAGATATTATCTTTGATAGTTTTGATATCACCATGAACATCAGATAAAGTATTTTTTTTGGCTCTATTTTTGGAAAAGTATCTTTCAGTGCTTTATTTTCCAAAAGTTAAAATGAGTTTCCTTGATTGTAGTTATCAAAAATAAAATAGACTCTTTTATATAGTTACATGTTATCTCCAGAATATATTGTATCGTAAAATCAATGATGACTGCAAAATTGTTAGAATCTTCTCATGGTTTACAGCAGTCCAAATCTTCAATTTTATTTTCAAGTATGAAATATTGATTACATTTTCTTGGTTGCAATAGAACAGCAAAAAGAGTTTATAATCTTCCTAAAATGCAAAATATCTTATAACTTATATAAATCACTGCCACCTCAGAAGGAGTCTGTTAACAGGCATGAGGCAGGTCTCATAAATCGTATTCTTTGGTATGGAATAGAGTAGCTGAATGTTAGTTGCTTCTAATGTTTCAGTAATGACAGAAAGCAATAGGGAATTTTTGAATCCAAACTTCAATGTATGACTGTGGACACACATTTGTTAATAATTTCTGAAGTTATTAATAGTTGCATTCTCTATTAGTTTCTATTTATCAAATAAATGAAGTTGATGTTCTGAAGGAAAATCATGGAAGATGGCAATCATTTTCCACATGGCTAAAATTTTCATCTGCAACTTGCTGCTGGCTGTGGGGCTACCAGGCTTCTTTTTGTTTTTCAAGGCAAGATCCTGCTTCACTGTTAACTCCGCACTTGTGCTTCATTTGCAGCATCTGGCGAGGCCCCAATGTGAACTGCACAGACAGTTCGGGTTACACTGCTTTACACCACGCAGCCTTAAATGGACATAAGTAAGTGCCACTTATTTTGACAGAATCTTGTGTATTTAGTTACATGTGATGAAGTTAATTATGTCTGATGATACCTTTGTCATGTCTCCGTGAGTCCACTGGGCGTAGATGAATTTGGAAAGGGACCAGGTGACAATACTGACAAGTTAGACTTGGTAGGAATGTGGCTGAGTATAATTGTGTGCAGAGTGTAAACTGAAAGAAATGCTCTGAAATACTCAACTATCACACGGGGAAAATGGAAAAATTGACAGGATCATGCTATTCATGTGTAGCTTTGAAGAGAGAATGGGATAAAACCACTTGGTTACACCTCTCTACCTTTTTTGGGGTCTCCTTGTATTCACCCAACATGGTAGCATTTGCTAGGAGGACAGACTTAGCAGATCCCCAGTATTCTGAGCCCTGGTCACTTATATGAACTGCTTAAATACCCTTATTTAGCTAAAATATTTTATCTTTGTCATTCATGATTGTCTTTCTGGTTTTAGATTTCTCAACCCTAAAGTTTTTTTAATGTGTAAAACTATGTGTCAAATAATGTAATAATATACATTGCGGAGAGTAAAAGAATGTGTAGCCATAACAATCTCTGTTTCCAGCATTTTAGCTAGGTATCCTAATGGTTTAGTGACGGAGTTAAAGTGAGATGAGTCCTCTGAATGATTCAGATGTTCTGTCGTCCTACAGAAGAAAAGTGACTCTTTTCCTGCATCTTCTCTTCGTCTCTGTTTTCCCTTTGTGTGAATGATCCAAGTTAGTTTTCCCAGATCTGTATCATTTCATTTCACTTTAGTTTTTTAGATGTGGTAATTACTGCTTTAAAAGTGCTAGTTACAATCTACAGATTCCATATTATTTCTATCAAATTACTAATGTCACTTTTCACAGAACTAGGAAAAAACTATTTTAAAATTTATTTTGAATTAAAAAAAGAGTTCAAATAGCCAAAGCAACTCTAAGTAAAAAGAACAAAGTCAGAGGCATCATGATACCAGATTTCAAACTATTCCATAAGGCTGCAGTAACCAAACCAGCATGGTACTGGTACAAAAACAGACACATAACCAATGAACGGGTTAGAGAACCCAGAAATAAAGCCACACACCTACAGCCATCTGGTCTTCAGCAAAATCAACAAAAAATAAGAAATGGAGAAAGGTCTCTTTCTTCAATAAATGATGCTAGGATAGCTGGCTAACCATATGCGGAAGAATGGAACTGGACTATTACCTTTTACCATATACAAAAATTAACTTAAGATGGGTTAAAGATTTAAATGTAAGACCTCAAACTATAAATAGAATCTTAGAGGAAAACTTTGGAAACACCATTCTGGACGTAGGCCTGGGAAAAGATTTCATGATAGAGACTTCAAAAGCAATTGCAACAAAAAGAAATATTGAGGCTCGGTGTGGTGGCTCATGCCTGTAATTCCAGCACTTTGGGAGGCCAAGGCGGGCAGATCGCTTGAGGCCAGAAGTTCGAGACCAGCCTGACCAATGTGTTGAAACCCTGTCTCTACTAAAATTACAGAAATTAGCTGGGTGTGGTTGGTACATGCCTGTAGTCCCAGCTAGGAGAGGCATGAGGCAGGAGAATTGCTTGAACCCTGGAGGCAGATGTTGCAGTGAGCAGAGATCATGCCAGTGCACTCCAGCCGGGGTGACAGAGTGAGACTCTATAAAAAAAAAAAAAAAAAAATTAACAAGTGGGACCTAATTTATAAACAGAATAGACACATAATATAATGGGAGAAAAATATTCACAAACTATGCATCTACCAAAGGCCTAATATTCAGAATCTACAAGGAAGTTAAAGAATTCAACAAGCAAAAAACAATTATTCCCATTAAAAAGTACGCAGAAGACATGAACAGACACTTCTTAAAAGAAGACATACAAGTGGCCAACAACTGTATGAAAAAATGCTCAACATCACTGTGTGAAAAATGCTCAACATCAACAACTGTATGAAAAAAAGCTCAACGTCAGAGAAATGCAAATCAAAACCACAAAGAAACCATTTAACACCGGTCAGAATGGCTGTTATTAAAAAGTCAAAAAATGACAAATATTGGCATCTTTTGCAGAGAAAAGAGAGTGCTTATTCACTGTTGGTGGGAATGTAAATTAGTTCAGTCTCTGGAAAGCAGTTTGGAGATTTCTCAAAGAATTTAAAACAGAACTGCCATTCTACCTAGCAATCCCATTACAGGGTATAAATCCAGAAGAAAATAAATTTTTCTATCAAAAAGACACATGCACCTTCATGTTCATTGCAGCACTAGTCACGATAGTAAAGATGTGTAATCAATTGAAGTGCACATCAGTGGTGGATTGGATAAAGAGAATGTGGTACATGTGCACCATGGAATACTATGCAGCCATAAAAAGAATGAAATTGTGTTATTTGCAGCAGCATAGATGCAGCTGGAGGCTGTTACTCTAAGTGAATTAATGGAGGAACAGAAAATCAAATACTGCATGTTCTCACTTAGAAGTGGGAACTGAACACTGGCTACTAGTGGACATAAGGATGGCAACATTATAAACTGGAGACCACTACAGGGGTTAGGGAGGGTTGAAAAACTATTGGGTACTATCCCCAGTATCAGGGTATGGGTATCAATTGTACCCCAAACCCCAGCATCATACAATATACCAAGGTATCCCCTGAATCTAAAATAAAAGTAGTAAATGTATGTCCTGAATCTAAAATAAAAGTTGAATTTATTAAAAAAAAAAAAGAATAAAAATGCTAGTTACCTTTTGTTTTCCCACTTAACATTCCTTTTATTCTGTGGATGGAGACTCAAAAGTCTTCTTATACTTAGTCTTAGGCTTGGTCATAAAGCTCTTAATACAAGAAATTTATTTTTTTTTGTTGTTATTGATCACTACAGCATTTTTCTCTTAAAATGTATAAATTTAACACTATCATTTTGTTTAGAAAATCATCTGAGTTACGTAAAATATTATAAACTTTATGTTTCATTATTTAGATTTTTTAGTATTAGAATTCCCAAATAATATTTATTTTTATTCAGTTCCTATTCTGTATTATCTCATATCATCTCATTTAGAACTATCCTGCCAGATCTTTTTCCTGCTCCTTTATAGGATGAAAAGTATGTCCAGATAGCTAAATATTTTAAAGGAGGATATTGCTATTTATTCTTTTTTGTACCTGAATCATAAGGAACAAAGACAAATCAGCCCAAGTCATATAATCCTGATGGTTTCTTGGCTGTCTGAATTGTGGATTCAGGCTACTATCATATTTTTTAGTTCCAATTGGAAAGATAAACTCTATTACATCTAATGGGCAGAATATCTTGGGCCTGACCATTCATTTGAGCCATACTACTTTTCTTATTCTTTCTCAGATTGGCATTGGTAAGTAAGCACTTCTCAAAATAATACTGTCCCAAAATGGATTAGCATTCATATTCCTCCTTGCTTTTCAGTGAAGAATTTAGTAAATATTGATTTATACATGACAGTCTATGAAGTTCTAACTGTTGAGACACATGTTTTTCTGTGGCCTGTGGCAGGTTTGGTACTTTTTGTCAATTTAGAAAGTGACGATAATTTAAGCAAATTGAATAGCAATCATTAAAATTATCATAAACAGAATTTGATTAGATGTATTTTAAGATCCCTTTAATTGCAGATACTATAGGTGAATTATCTATCTGTGCTTTTATCTGATATATTAGGATGTATTAAACAGAAAAGATAAACATTTGATTTATATTTTCTGTTTCATACATCCTAGTAACATTTTCCTCAGTGTCATCCTATAGGCTTTGAAAAAGCAGGAAAATTCTAACCCCACCTCCCTATCTGGGCTAGTTGTGTGACCTTGAGCCATTTACTTAACATCTCTAGCCCTCAGTTCAATAGATTGGCTTAACATTTCTAGCCCTCAGTTCAATAGATTGAATTGATTGGCTCGATAGTCTCCATTGTTTCTTACAATTATGCATTGAATGATACACTCTGTTGGTATTATTTTTGGCTCAGTTATGCACTGTGATGCTACAGTTCTGAAATTGGGATTTTCATATAGAGCATATGTTTCTTAATTATGCATGTTTAAATTATCTACAAACTTGTACAATTAGAAATCACTTATTCTACCTGACACCCCTCACATACCTTATTTTATAGATGGAGAAACTAGGCCCATTTAGATAAGTGACTTAGTGGACGTAGATATTAAAGTGGGGTTCTGTCTAGAGCTTAAGTGTTCTGGTTCTCAGTCTATGCTTTTACCAGTACGCTACATTATCTCCCCTTTGTTGTTAAACTCTCCCTGGCTCCTCTATGTCACATTAGATATTTCTGGCCTGCCTCCCATAATCATTTGTTCTATATTTACATAGAATGCTAATTTTAATATTGGCTTAAAAGATATTTGAAGGAGAAAATAATGTCATAGAATGTATCTCTGAGCCAGAGAAGGATATTTCTTTTATTTGTATTCTCACTTAGCAGAGATAACTAACAAGCATTATATTGTGTTCTTCCCAAGCAAGCCTTGGCAGTCAGCATAGAAACACATGATTTCCATGTTTGTCGCTGTTGTTGTATCCATCTGCTGTAGATTGTTTCCATAAACATTATGATTGCTAGGCTAAAGTTCATGGAATCATAGAACCAGCAGTAATGTTTCAGGGCTGTATAGTTTATGCTTTTTCTTTGAGCACAAACTGTCCTCTACCCCTGACATATAAGCTAAAGCCTTCATACTGAAAATTAAACCAGATTCCCTGATTTTGTACATTTTCATTGGGAGCCATTGTCTTTCAATGCTTGTTAATCCACAAATGAGGCAGCATTTTGTACCTGAAATGCATTGTTTCATATTGAGCAATTCATCTTCAATTAGCCAGATGAGGACACAGTGGAAAATGCACTCTACTGGTGATTTCCTGGGTTATCTGTAATTACAGATTAGAAAATTATTATCACCACAGATTCCACAGAAATAT